GCGAGGATAAAAAGACTACAAAACTAAGGGTTGTTTTCGATGGCTCTATGAAGTCCAAGAGTAAGAAATGTTTAAATGATTTTTTACACAACGGTGCAGTAGTTCAGAGTGAACTTTTTGATATTTTAATTAATTTCAGAACTTACAAATATGTAATTTTGACAGACATTAAGCAAATGTATAGAATGATATTAGTTCACCCTGACTACTGCTCTTTACAAAATATTCTATGGCGTGAACCTGACGGTCCGTTACAATGTTTACAATTACAAACTGTTACCTATGGGCTGAAGAGTTCTTCTTTTCTAGCTACCAGATGCTTGGTAGAACTTGTCAATACAGAAGGTAAAAATTATCCCCTCGCATCAAAAGCCATTCTCTATAACACTTATGTGGATGACGTGTTAACTGGAGCAGATACCATCGAGGAAACTATTCAGCTTAAAAATGAATTAATCACACTTTTGAATTTACGGTCCTTCGAATTACACAAATGGTGTTCAAACAGTTCAGATATTTTAACTGACATTCCTAGAGAAAGGCAGTATTTTGACGAAATCGATATGTGCAAGGGAAATTATGTTGTCAAAACTTTAGGATTATCATACGATACCAAGACTGACAATTTCAAAATGAGTTCTCCTAAAATTGATGTAACTTCTTACATAACAAAACGACAGGTTTTGAGTTTCATTTCAAAATTTTACGATCCTTTAGGACTAGTCGGACCTGTTTTAGTATCAGCTAAAGTAATAATGCAAAAAATTTGGCTATCCAGGATCAATTGGGACGACATTTTACCATCTGATCTTTTAGAAGTTTGGCAACATTTTGTCAATGGTCTTATAAGCATGCCAACCGTGTTTATTCAGAGAAGTTTAAATTTTCAAAACGCTGAGAGCATAGAATTAATAGGGTTTTGTGATTCTTCTTTGATCGCTTATGGAGCAGTTTTATATGCCAGAGTCATTTTTTTAAATCATGTCAGCGTGAATTTAATTTGCTCCAAATCCCGAATTGCTCCAAAAGATAAGGATAAATTAAGCATTCCCAGGCTTGAACTAAATAGTGCATTGCTTTTGTCAAATTTAGTTTATAGGGTGTGTAACATTTTTAAGGACAAAATTCACAATTTTTTTTTGTATTCGGATTCTAATATTGTATTGTCTTGGATAAAAACAGAACCTCTACAATTGAATCCCTATGTTGCCAATCGGATATCGAAAATTCAAAAATTCACCAAAAATTTTAAATGGCTATACATCAATACTAAAGAAAATCCTGCAGATTGCCTTTCAAGAGGTTTAAAACCTCAAGAAATTCAAAATAATAGTCTCTGGTTTCATGGACCCCCAATGTTGTCAATTAAGGAATTCAACCATCCTGAAACTCCTTTAAAATCACCTGATCCTTTGCCTGAGCAAAAGGTCTTTGTTATCAAAATTAAAAAAGACTCATTTTTTGAAAGATTTTCATCAGTATCCAAGTTACAGCGCGTTGTTGCATATATGTTCAGATTTTGTTACAACAGTAGGGAGCAAAATAGACAGAACAAGCAAACAGGAAAATTGGAAATTTCTGAAATAAATAAATCATTGGAAATAATAATAAAATTTGAACAAGGTCAGCATTTCACAGAAACTATTAAATGTTTAAATCTTAAACTTCCAATTAAGTCGTCTTTGAAATCTCTTTCCCCTTTTTTAGATAGTAACAGTTTGCTTAGAGTGGGTGGTAGGCTGCAAAACTCAAAAATTTCTTATTCACAAAAGCATCCTTTGATATTACCAAAAAATAGCCACATTACTGATCTTTTGATACGCCGAGAGCATCTCAAATTGCATCACGCAGGTTTAAGGCAAGTACTTTTTTCATTAAATATGAATTTTTGGCTTATAAATGGAACAAGAGAAATTAAAAAAATATTGCACAAATGCGTCATTTGTTTTAAATTTAAGGCTAAATGCTCAGAGCAATTAATGGGTTCTTTGCCAGAGCCTCGAGTTTGTCCTGCTCGCGCATTTCAAAACGTGGGTATAGATTTCTGTGGACCATTCCAGATTAAACAATCACGACTGAGAAAATCGATTACTAGCAAATCTTATATTGCTCTTTTTGTGTGCTTTGCCGTTAAAGCAATACACATGGAACTTTTGTCAGACCTAACTACCGATACTTTCTTGGCAGCCTTCAAGCGTTTCATAGCGCGCAGAGGCAAGCCATCTAAGGTTTTTTGCGATAACGGTTCCACCTTCAAAGGTGCTAGTAATCAGTTGAATGAATTCTATGAAAAACAAGATAATATTAATGATTTCTGTTTGGAAGAAAAAATTGAATTCAAATTTATTCCAAGCTACTCCCCAGTGTTCGGAGGGTTATGGGAGGCAGGCGTGAAGAGCGCCAAATACCACATAAAAAGAGTCATGGGTGATACAGTACTGACATATGAAGAATTCAATACTTTAATTGTTTCGGTGGAGGGAATATTAAATTCAAGACCCCTTATGCCACTAACCAACGATCCTACAGACCTTGAGTATCTTACCCCAGGGCACTTTTTAATTGGTACTCCAATTACTAGCTATCCTGAGCCTGACTTTACGGAAATTCCACCTAATAGGTTGAAGCTTTGGAGAGTCATAGTTCAGATGCAGCAACATTTTTGGGTCAAATGGCAACGTGACTATTTGACTCAACTTCAAAGCAGGCCAAAATGGCAAAAAGAAGTTCCCAATTTAAAAGAAGGTATGCTTGTTCTATTGAAAGATGACAATACCCCCAGCTTTAAATGGCCTGTTGGCAGAATTGTTAGGTTGGTTCCTGGCAAAGATAAAAAAGTGAGAGTCTTTGAAGTGAAGACAAAAGATGGTACTTATTTAAGATCCATCACAAAGGTGGCTATTTTGCCAATATCATAAATAAATTTGATAATTTATTCTTTTGAGTAGGTAATACATTTTTATTACTATTATTTAAATTACTTATTTCCTCTGCCTATTGCATCGAAATAAGATTACCCCTTTGCTCTGCCTTCTGGGCATCAAAACATTGAAAAAATACTAATAATAAACTGCATGCAATTTAATATATTTCACCTATATAGGTATAAATAATAAATAAATGCTTTTGGGCAATAATTAAAAAAAAATCCTGTACACGAGTACAAAGGGTTTTAAATCTTTCAACGAGTAGGTATTTTCTTTGCTCGTATTTATGTTATTGAAAAATATATTTTTAAAGTTTCCTTTAATGGACATTTTTAATTAAGCATTTGAATGCTGACAATGTTTAAAGTTTCTATGAAACCATCAAGGCCGCAGCATGTTGGAAACAAAATCCAACACCTTTATTCTCATCGAAAGGTGGGCATTTTTTAATATAGTTCCTTTAACATACTTGGTATGAGTCGCTGCGTTCTTAATTTATAGGAGGCACTTTCCAAGAACAATTCTGCCACCTTTTTTACTCTGATGACAGTTGTTGTCATTCTGCCATAAAAAAGTAATAAGCGGTGATTTTTTCTATGTGCAGTAGAAATGTTTTATCTGCAAATCAATTAAGTTGATTAATTGAAAAGTATTGTATTTGAATTCCACTGTCCTTAGTTGTAATTTATTCGGCGAATTAAAGGTAAAAAAAAAACTATTTAGTGCTTTTTCTCCTTGATGCTTCCAGCCATGCCAGAGGATTTACAGTTTTAGAAGTCGAAGGAACAATTCAATTTTTAAATACATAAAGATCTGAACACTATCAATTTGCATGAAGTCAACCGAAGGTTGAAACTCAACCATCGGTTCAGTGTTTTATGAAACCGGCCACAAGGGCCAATACTTTCGATCTCGATTAACGAATTTTACACGTTGAATTTAATAAGGTTTTGCATGGAACAAGGTCTGTAAGTATGATGTGATTCATTCAAACCCCTGATTATTTTCAACCGCTGTCAAATTCGAGAACTGAGAACAAAAGTACCGGCACTAAGACACCTTGGGAACAGGCTTAAAGATCGAGAAGAAATGAGGCATGTCCGACTAAAGCGGTTCTGTGCTGTTTTTAAAAGCTGCAAGCTCCCAGAGCTAGAAAGGACTCCTGCTCCATCAGAAAAGAGCCAGCACATGGCACTATATATGCGCCTACGTAATGCTAGTAGAGCCCCCTCTGAAATCAATCAATCAAGAGAAATTACGGTTAGGAAGATCTGCGAGGAATAGAAGCTTAGTTCAAGGATATATCGACCGTATCCATGATGAAACAATTAGAAGGGAAGACTGCCTACATATTGTCCGTCGTTTTTAATTTGACACTTTCCGTTTGTCCTCAAGGGGCGAGGGGGTAAAGCATATGGCAAAAACAGGTGTGAGGTCAGGTGACCATTGGCGTTCTAACGTAGGGAGCCACCAGCTCACATTCCTTTGGTGTATCAGATTAAAAACGACGGACTGTATGCGTATGATTGTATTTTACGTATTTATTTAACCATTGTTGGTATTTATTTTGTAATGTCGAATGGATTCATGGATGCTGTAGGTTTGAATGTTGTTATTCCGAGTGAGCATCCGTTGTTGATTGAGAGAAAAGCTTATTTGGCATTTTCGAGTTTTCTTCCTTCACGGTTGGTGCCCTGACTTATATTGTAGTCCACATACATATTCTTCAAATCAAAGAAAACATATCTATCAACAATACTTCCGACGGTCATACTTTTCAAGGCGGAGTACTTATGGTTGCAGGCGGAAGTAAGATTGTCATCACTCGTCTGCTCAGTCGCCAGCCATAAACCCGAATTATATGCTTTGGGAGAGGTAGAGTGATACCTGATACTCTAACTATCGTCAAGACATCTGGAAGAGATTACTCCCAGCTAGAGAATTTAATCCTGTTGTTGGGAAATAAATATTTCTCTAATTTCCTCCTTAATAATAAAATACAATACCGAATATAATATCATGTTACTGTAGAAAAAAAAGAAAGCTTTAAACGAATATTCAAATAATTTTTAGCAAAGCCATGTAATGGACCTTGCCAGTGCCCGAAACCATTTTGCGATCCTGAAGATAGTATCTTTATACCTGGTCCAGGACCTTGTAAATGTCCGATATGTGTTAAACCAGGTACTCCTTTAATAATTATCATATTACTTAGGATAAATACGCAGATAAATATTCATCAAGATACCAATGGCATTATGAGCAACATAAGAACCAATAGCCTTGTCTGATTGTTAACCAAAATTAGTTCCGAACGACCTTTTATTTATAGGATATATTGCGCCATCTATTTTTCAATTATTGTAATGTTTCCACTATATGATTTAAAATGCCACCAGCAAACAACTTGCAATTTTGCCTGTTTCTATAAAAAATTAATTTGATTGTCGAGTGACCTGAAAAAACATATGGTGTTAACAATCTTCATAGTTATTATTAATTTGTCATTATTATTATTTTTTCTACTACCGTGTGTAAAGTACTCACTTTACGCATTATTCAGAAGACGTAAAATTTCACTTCACGCACTAGTGCGTAAAGTATTTTTCTAAATTTATTTTTTTACACATATTTGATTGGTAGTAGAAAACATTTTGTATGCAATACGTGCGTAAAGCACCTTTTTTCACTCATGTGATTGTCGCACGAGCCGGAGGCGAGTGCGACAAAATTCACATTCGTGAAAAAAGGTTCACTTTACACACTTGTTGCATAAATAACTATTTATTTTTTATTAAACAACGTTTTTACGATTATTGCCTGGAAAAGAATTCTTTTTTCTCAACGCTTCCATCGAAGGAAGGCGACATATTTTTGGTTTTTTGAAGCCGAATATCCACAAATTACCAGCTGGGGACGACCGACGTCAAGAAGCAAAGTTCAGAAGAAGAAGGTCCAATCCAATTTATTTCCCAAGCTACCGCTGCTTATATTCCTACCACAGTTCCTACCCTGCATGAAGCAATTTGTGTGACGAGTCGATGAGTATTTATTTGATTTTGATTAACAATTATAAGCGTGTATTTTTCAGATACAAATAAAAGCAGTTCCCAGAATGCCTGACAACGAGGAAGGTCAAAGTGCGCAGCAAAATGCCAGAGAAATGAAAAAATTGAAATCTCGTAGAAGCCAGTTAAAATCCGCGTTAACTCGTTTCAAAGGGTATGTAAATGGCCCAGATTTAAACATAACCACTTTAAAATTGCGATTAAATAATCTCAATGCGGCTTGGACAGAATTTCAAACAATTCAGTCAGAAGTCGAAGAGTTAGATCCTGTCCAAGAAACCGAAAGAGAATCGTTCGAAGACGAATATTATAATTACGCATCCATAGCTATGGAACATATCGAGCAGCATGACCGTGTCGTGCTGCATTCATAAAATACAGGTACGAATACAAACATAAACATATCGCAATCGAATCCATCGTCCACATCAAATAACGTTAAACTGCAGTCGATTTCTCTTCCACAATTCAGCGGTTCTTACGAAGGCTGGCTACAATTTTTCGAGATTTTTCAGGCTTTAGTCGATAAAGATACGAATTTAACAAAAATTCAAAAATTCTACTATTTACAATCTTGCCTTCAAGGCGAAGCAATTCAATGTTAACAATCTTTAGAAATTTGCGAATCAAATTCGCGATTCGTATCTTTTCATATACATACATATAATATCACAAGAGAAAAAATTTTGTCGGCAAAATTTTCGAAAGGTATGAAAGTTTGTTGCTTGGCAATTTCGCGAATGACATTTTTGACAAAATCACAAACCTTGAGAACAATTTTGCCTACACAATTTTTTCTTGAGTGGTATTCGTTATGACTATTTCTCGTAAGATTTTGAAAATAAATGCACAGAACATATCACCTATAGAAAAATATCTCAAATGGAAGAATCGCGACAAAGGTTTTTAGTTAGGTTTTCATTCAACGATGGCGACACTGTCGGGAGATAAGAGAAATTTACAGGTATCTGTGGCGTGGACAGTGATTTGTGTTGGTTGGTTTTGTCATTTATTTTGTCATTTTAAAAGTCAAAATTTGAATTTTTAAATTGTGTTGTTGTACCCCACGGTTTCTACGCGCGGTAAAGTGAAAATTCAAAAAGTTTTGGTTGAAAAAAAACCTAATTTTTGTTCGTATTTTTTTGTATTTATTCGTTTGTTTCGTTTCGTTCGTATTTGTATTTATTATTCGTATTTACTTTGCGATCTACCTATAACTGCGTGACTCTTGCTAACTTACTAACTCTTTTTGCACTATGTTCGACATCGGAAACTTCCTGCCAGTCATAGTTTTTAAAAAAGTGAGGCGAAAAGAGCTAACAGGAGTCAGCAAGCCAAATGCAGTTGAACATTAAAAATTATACAAAAATAATAAAAATATATGAAAAAAATCAATTCGCCTTTTTGTCAAGAATACTCGATTAGTTGGGTTTTCAGTCAACGAGGGCGCCGTAATTCATAACCGGTACATACCATTGCAGATACTTTTCTAGAGGTGATATGTTCTGTGAATAAATGGAATGCAAAAATGTGAATAAAAACTTCAAATAAAAATACCAGTTTGACAATGTCAAAAAATGGTCGTAGGTAATACCATAAGAGCTCAGATTTAGCCGGATATTTTTTGGCTTGGTCTCGAAAACTTACTTTTAGGAAATTTAACGAGAGCTGTTCCGACAAAATCACGAGACCGCAGCTCGAGTGATTTTGTGGAACAGATCGAGATAAATTGCATGAAAGTAAGTATGAGAGAGCAAGCAAAAAAATATCCTGCTCAAAATCTGAGCTCGAATGGTATTTAGTACGGCAATTCCACGAATGCCTAATCAAAATAAAATATGGAAATACTTTTTAAAATGAACAGTTATTGAAGGTACAATTAGAATAAATATTTTGCCCCTTAAAATTTGACTCTACAGAAAGAGAAGAAGACTCTGTGTTCTCAGGAATTGAATTTTCTATTTCGCTATTGATTCATCTTTAATTGTCCCAAATCGCTGCATGTTGAAAATATTTTTAATTTTATTTAAAAATACACTTTTAATAAGCTAAAATGATAGAACTTGTGAATTTTTGTGACAATTATTTGACAGATGATTCAAAAACCAATTTTATATGCAATTCATGCAATTGTTACTACGGTAACGATTGCATCAACAGAAAATTTATCCGATTTTTTTATCCAGTTATATTTTCTCTTCCTTCCTATTTATCCGCTAGCAAACTACGATTTTTGACATTTCAAATGGGATTATTTATACATGAGTGGAATTGTCGCTGAAATACCATTTTGTTGGTATTGTCCAGGTAGCAATATTGTCACCTGAATTCCGAATTTATTGCTAGTGTAATACACTCTAGTGAAATAGTCAATAATATCAATTTAGCAGATCCGGAATTTTCTTATTCCAGGCCTATTGATATTTTAATCTGTACAGAATTATTTTTCACTTGTCTGAATAGTGGACAAATATCATTTGGGAAAAATGCTCCAATTCTGCAAAACACGAAATTCGGGTGGGTTATCGTCGGACCTCTATACTTGAATAAATCACAAAAACAAATTCTAAAACAAGTAAATTGTTTTTCAACAATTAACGACGGCAATGATAAAATATTGCACGATACCGTTCAAAAATTTTGGCAGTTAGAAAATATAGAAAACTCTCAAAATCGATTCAATAGTGAGGAGTTAGAATGCGAATTACATTTCAGGGAAAATTACAAAATTGATTCTGAAGGTCGATATGTAGTTAAGCTTCCTTTAAAGGAAAATCATGTAAAACTGGGAGATTCATACAATATCGCCCTAAAATGTTTAAACTCTGTCGAACGACGATTAGATAGAAATCCCGATTTACGAAAAAGTTACTCCGAATTTTTAGAAGAATACGAAAAGCTAGGCCACATGTCACGTATGAACCCCGATTTAGATCAAGTGAACAAAATTTGCGTTTATTTAAGTCATCATGCTGTAATTAAAGAAAGTAGTAGCACTACAAAATTACGTGTAGTTTTTAATGCGAGTCAAAAAACAGTTTCAGGTCTGAGTCTCAATGATGTTTTGAAAATTGGTCCCAAAGTTCAAAGGGATGTTTTTGATATAGTATTTCAAATGCGTATTTATCCCATTTTAATTACAGCGGACATAGAAAAAATGTTTCGGATGATTTTAATAGATGAATCGCAACGTAACTTTCAAAGAATCATTTGGAGAGACAATGAAACCAACGCAATTTGCCATTTCCAATTGAATACCATCACCTACGGGACCGCAAGCGCTTCCTGTTTAGCAACACGCGTATTACATGAAATAGGCCTGAAACATAAATTTATTAATCCAAAAGTTAGTCAAATTATAATAAATAATTTTTATATGGATGACCTAATTTTTGGGTATCATGATATTAATCAAGCAATATTTTTAAAGAACGAATTGAATGAAATTTTATCAAACTCTGGATTTAATTTACGTAAATGGAATTGTAATGATGAGCGAATAATCCACAAATCGAACGAAAATCCAGATAAAACGTTTCATATAAAAACCGAAGGTGAATCAAAAACGCTGGGTACTTTTTGGAATCCTGCTAGCGATACAATAGCTTATCAATTCAAATTAAAATTAGATATTTCAAAAATCACAAAAAGGAACGTTTTAGCAACAATCGGTCAGCTTTTTGATATTCTGGGGTTAATTAGTCCTGTTATAGTTAAAGCTAAATTAATCTTACAAGATATTTGGAAATTAAAGATTGACTGGGACACCGAGGTTCCAGAAAATATTGCGATCAGATGGAAGGATTTTGTCAGAAAACTAAACGATTTAGATTTGTTGCAAATTTCTCGATGCGTTTTGAATTCATCCCCCGAAAAGGGATCCATCATACTGTGTGGTTTTTGTGATGCCTCACAATTAGCCTACGGTGCTTGTGTTTATTTGGTGCATCGAAACGATAATTCCGAAATTGAATCAAATTTAGTATGCTCAAAATCGAGACTTGCACCTTTAAGTTCATCTACTTTACCCCGTCTTGAACTATGTGGCGCATTATTATTAGCACAATTAGTTAATAAAGTAACCAATTCATTGAAAATAACTGTTAACGTTCAAGAAATAGTATTATTTACCGATTCTACTATAGTTCTCGATTGGCTAAATTCTGAACCCAGTAAATGGAAAATTTTTGTATCAAATCGAGTGGCGGAAATTCACTGAAAATATTGTCTGGCAACATATAGATACCGAAAATAATCCAGCAGATATTGTTTCAAGAGGTGCTTATCCAAAGGATTTATATAATCATTATTTGTGATGGAACGGACCAAAATTTTTAAAGACCAATCGTGAATTCTGGCCGAAAAGTCAAAATGATATTCGAATTTCAGTCCACGAAGCGCGGAAGGAAAATATAAATTTATCTTTTGTTAATTTAAAACAAAATCCTTTGGAGATACTTCTTAAATTTTCTTCTTATAATAAATTAATACGTGTGTTTTCCTATATCTACCGTTTTATCAATAATACTCGTACTAAAAATAAAATATTATGTTCATTAACTTCAGAAGAATTTTATGAAACCGTTTTAAACATTTGCAAGCAAATTCAACTTGAATGTTTTTCAGATGAAATTAAATCTTTAAAAAATAACAAAAAATTATCACCGCAGAGTAGACTTGTTAGTCTTAACCCGTTTTTTGATAAGTCAGAAGTAATACGTGTAGGTGGAAGATTAACAAATTCTAACCTAAATTTTGACAGAAAACACCCTATAATTTTACCGCAAAAACATCGTTTTTCAGAATTAATAATTAATCATTACCATCACAAATTTTTACATGCTGGTCCACAATTGATCTTGAATCAAATACGTGAAAAGTTTTGGATAATTTGCGGTAGAAGCAAAGTTAAAAAAATTCTGAAAAATTGTATTACTTGTTTCCGTGTAAAACCTTTAAATATTAATCAGATAATGGGTTCTTTACCAGCTCCCAGGGTTGTACCATCACGTCCATTTTCGTATTGTGGTATTGATTACGCAGGACCTTATCTATTAAAGGATGGAAAAACTCGAAATCGCGTTCTTATAAAAGCATATGTTTGTGTTTTTATTTGTTTTAGTAGCCGCGCGGTTCATGCTGAACTGGTAGTCGATCTGAGTTCAGAATCATTTCTTAACGCCTTCAAACGATTCTCTTCTCGGCGTGGTTTAAGTAGTCATATATTTAGCGATAATGCCACCAATTTTATTGGCGCGAATAACGAAATGAAGAGATTGTGTCAAGTCGTATTTGAAACTGTGAGCAATAAATATCAAAATTATTTTGCTGATCACAAAATTCAATGGCATTTTATTCCCACCAGATCTCCTCATCATGGAGGCATATGGGAATCTGCTGTTCGTTCTTTCAAATTTCACTTGAAAAGAGTACTAGGTCAAAATCATTTAAATTTTACACATTTTACACGAACAATTTTACACTCTCCTAAGACAAATCGAAGCAATCCTTAACTCAAGACCTATCCTACCCCTCACTAATGATCCTTCGGACCTGGAAATACTCACCCCAGGACATTTTCTGATTGGTGATAGTATGATAGCCGTACCTCAATCTAAGGAAATTGACATTCCCACAAACCGATTGCATTATTATCGAAGACTCCAACAAATCTTGCAACGTTTTTGGACATTATGGAGCCAAAATTACCTCAATTCAATACAACAGAGATCAAAATGGAGAACCCAACAGGATAATATCAAGATAGACACTCTCGTTTTGTTAAAAGAAGATAATGAACCACCCATGCATTGGCCTTTAGGACGCGTGGTAGCTGTTCATCCCGGAAAAGACAAGAATGTGCGTGTAGTGTCAGTTCGAAAAAAAAATGGGATAGTGAAACGTGCTATCACTAAGATATGCCCTTTACCCATTAATGACAAAGATGGACATTGCAAAAGTTTCATTTATTTTTTTGAATTTTTATAGTTTCTTTGTTGAAATTCGTATTTCAAGGCCGGCGGTATGTCTGATTGTTAACCAAAATTAGTGCCGAACGACCTTTTATTTATAGGATATATCGCGCCATCTATTTTTCAATTATTGTAATGCTTCCACTATATGATTTAAAATGCCACCAGCAAACAACTTGCAATTTTGCCTGTTTCTATAAAAAATTAATTAGATTGTCGAGTGAGCTGAAAAAACATATGGTGTTAACAATCTCCATTAATTTGTTATTATTATTATTATTATTTTTTATTAAACAACGTTTTTACGATTATTGCCTGGAAAAGAATTCTTTTTTCTCAACGCTTCCATCGAAGGAAGGCGACAAGCCTAGAATCCTAGGGCCATTTGTACATCAACCGGGGGGCTTAGCTCAAAATGTTTTTAGTGTCTACTACGTTTAAGTCGTACCAGTGGTTCCAAATAATAATAGGTTATAAATTATTGTTGATCTTGCCATGTAGTTTTTCAAATAAATGTATTTCAAATAGAAGGAACAGAGGTGTTTTATTCCTAAAGAATCTACTAGAGCGAGGAATTATAATAAAAAAAGATCACTAGCCTAGTTATTCACTTGGAAGTGGTGTATTTATTATCGAATAATAAATACACTGTTGAGACATAAACGTCTAAAAAAATATCATGTAAGAGAACACTAGGACATTAAATAATTTTCATTTTTAGAACCAGGAGATAAATGCTACTACGAATCATTTACTAGTATCATTACCTGTGGAAATAGACTCACTTGTTGTAATGGAATTTGTCAAGGTAATAAAATCTGTTTTTTTTTTTAAAGATAAAAGTCAAAATGACATTCTGTTGGCAATACAATGTAAAATTGTCAAGCTTTCAAATTTTTTATGTAGAAAAGGCTTGTGTTGCCAACATAGTTACTAAATTTTTGACTTGGGGAATTATCTTTAAAAAAAAACAAACTTTACAATTTCTCTTTATAAATTTAATATTAATTGCACCTTTCTCAACTAGATGGATCTTGTGATCGATGTGACCAATGTGGACATTTATATTGCACCTCGAAAAGTATAAAAGTATTTGGACCAAGACCATGTAGATGTCCATATTGCATTGAACCAGGTAATCAGATTTATTTATTATCCATACAGGATGATGCTTGAGAACATCAAGAAAATTATTGAACGGATTCCTTAACTAACTTTAAGATATTGCATTTATGAAACGTGTTTTACGGGGATAAACTAGAAAAGTCCAGCTACAAATTTTTTCGAGAATCTTTGAAGTCTTTTGAAATTTGGTACGAATTATTAACTTTTGGGAACCAGTCTTGCTTGCCAAATATTTTTCTTCGTGCTGAATGTCCTATTTATTAAAATATTCAATACGGGCGCGTCTTTATCGATATCGGGAGGATTATTTATTGCACTTTCTTCGTTCTTTCCAGTGTCCTGAAGGGCGAGAGGAAGAAAACTGTAGTCTCTAAAATATAAATATTTACCTTTATTAATTTTCTCCATCTAATACTCAATGCTCGATCTCATTTTTGATATTGCCATTGAGCCTTATCCATATCCATTCTCTTTGAGCTTTTTTTGCTAAAGAATGAACTCATTGCAAAAAGTTCTCTCTCTTCGAAGAAGTTCATCAGTAAATACCCTTTTTAATAATTCCTCTTCCCATATCCATATCGTCTTATCAGAATGTTCTGTTTAATTTATTTTTCTGTCTAGTTTCACGTTGAAGTCTCATATTACTGAAAGTAATTTTGATTGCCTTTCCTCTAGAATAGTTGTTACTTCTTCGTAAAACTCTTTGATATCTTCATCGCCATAAGTGCTTGTATTGGAGCGTATATTTATACTTGTATCCTGTATACTTCATATCCTTTTATGTAATATAAAACCCTAAATTTCAATTTGTTTGTGATATTATCATTATTTCCATCCAAAAAAAAAATGTACATTTTTGTTTCTTCGCTGTTTCATCTACAGACCGGTCTGGTTGGTTAAGGACGAAAAGGAATTGAGGGTTTCACTATTTCATTTATAGACGCGATTAGACCTCTCAGCTTGGTGTGGCTAAGAATAGCGAAGAGGCGCGAGATTTTTCATTGTGAGATGGTATGATGTGCTCTTCGGAATCCAGCCTGCTCAACTTGGTATTCAGGGTGATTTACGTAGCCTGTGCATTACCTTGCAGGTTAAGATGCTATCTCTATTAATCCACCTGCAAGCCAATTGAATTTCAATGCATGGGCTAAGACGATCACAGTGTATATTCGTTTTATTTGTAAGGCTGTTCGTAACCTACCTTTGTTAATTCAACTAGAAAGGAGGTAATGGATGAGACACTAGCCTCAAATCATATGAGTTATTATGTCACAAACTGGCATGAGGCAGCTTGCTCGGATCACAGATACTTACATCAAATTTGAAATTTCAGGGGAAGCAACTCCAGTAAATTATCGGAACCCTCGAAATACAGACTGACATACAAAGCTGACCTGGAGTACAGTCTGCCGAGTGTCAGGAAGACAATAAGAGACACTGAAGACTTGGAGATGGTTGTGGATCAATTCAATGATGCGATCATCTCAGCCTTCAATGAAAATTGTCCACAATGAAAATTGCCCACAATGAAAATTGCCCACAACAGGGACATCCAGCAGGAAAGTTTCCTGGTGGAACGAGAGCCTTGCAAAGTTAAGGAAAAAAACTAGAACAGATTCAATAAAGCCATGAGAACCGGGCAGTGGGAGACAAACAGAACCACGTTGAATAAGTTCAAGAAAGAGCTGAGGGAATCCCAGAGGAGGTCTTGGAGGAAGTACTGTGAGGATATAGAAAAAACTCAAGATTTTACTAGTCTACAAAGAACTCTGTCAAGGGGCCCGAAGGCAACAATCAAGTCACTCAAGAACAACCTTGGTGGATACACAAAGACGTGGTAAGAGACGGCTAGGAACCTCCTAAGAACCCACTTTCCCTGCTCAAAAACAGTTGAGCAGACTCAGTGGACATGGATTGAGCCTGGACTTCGCACAGCATCCAGGAACGACTGGCTGACCTTGAAGAAAGTAGTCAACTATGAAAAAGTCATATGGGCTATATATAAGCACCTTTGACCCACATAAGTCAACAGGGAGAGATGGGATCTATCCCATAATATTACAGAACGGAACTGAACTTGCAACCGGGAGACTATGTAACATTCTAAGAAATAGCCCTAAGACCCATTAGTCTCACATCATTTGAGCTTGAGACACTGGAAAAACTTGTGGATAGGCACATTAGGGACGGTGTTTTGGCAAACAGACCACTATACCCAGACCAAAATGAGTATCGGAGAGGGATATCAATAGAAACAGCGCTTCACCAGCTGGTCAGCATAGTGGAGACCACATTGGCAAACAAAGAGGTAATGCTGGGTTCCTTCTTGGATATCGAGGGAGCTTTTGACAACACTTTTTTCGATTAAATAACCAGATCTCTCAAGCACAAAGGAGTTGAGTACACCTGCTATGTGTGGATCAACTCCATACAAAGATAAAGAAAGGTAGAAACCACCATCGCAGAGGAGACACTGACGGCCAGGGTGTACAGGGGGTTCTCACAAGGCGGGGTATTATCCCCACTCTTGTGGAATCCAGTGGAATCTGGCCTACTTAAGGTGCTCACTGACGGAGGATACCATGCCCTCGAATATGCTGGAGACATACTCATCATCCCTCGGGGCAAATTCAAATCTACAGTTACGGAGCGAATGCAAGACGCTTTAGACCGAACAACAAGATGGGTGGATAGAGAAGGACTTAACATTAGTCCCAACAAATCCACTGTCGTGGCATTCACCCGAAGGCATAAAATACAAGACCGGGGACCTCTTAGATTAAGGGGTGAATATATATAGATTTCGAGCGAGGTCAAATACTTAGGGGTAATACTGAACTCAAAACTTACCTGGAATCAACATCTGGAAAACACCGCCAAAAATGCGGTAACATCATTAATGATAGCCAGACCCTTGCATGGAAAATAATGGGGTTTAAGACCGGACATGCCGTCAGAAATTACAAGATGATGGTCAAATCTATCTTCACATACGCTTCCCTGATGTGGTGGCCCAAGACACTGCAGGAAAATGCCATACGCTAACTTAGCAAAGTGCAAAGACTGGCCTGCTCAGGAATAACGGGGTCAACGCTATCCACACCAACAGCAGCCATAAAGACCCTTCTAGACCTCTTACCTCTACACATAGTGATACAGGGGGAGGCAAGGATGGGAGCGTACAGACTGCAGCGGACAACCGCCTCCAACAAAAGAACGAGACGGGAGAGATTCATCGACCAACGATGCAGCAAAAGAGCCGCAGAATGCTTTAAATGAGCAGGAGCCTACTGAAAACCATAACGGGACTCTTGACTGGCCACATACCAGTAAAGTTCTACCTGAACAGGATGAACCGGTACGACGGAGACCTTAATTGCAGACTCTGCAGAAGGGAACCCGAGACAGCTAGACACATCCTGGTGAACTGCGAGACACTGGATCGCAGGCGACACAGTATTTTCGAGCAACCAAACGTAGACCTGGAAATAATAATGAAACATCATCCACTAAAAGACCTGGTACAAGGTACAAAAATACTGGAGTGGTTGGAATAAACCACACCGGCTTCAGTGCCGCAAGAGGACAATAAGTCGGAAAGACCTGGAACAAGGGAAAAAAAAGCTGTTCGTGATATTTTTAATAAATACTGAGACAAGATAGCGATAGCGGTCGATGATGGCTCTTCTAGATAATACCCCTGTCTTGAGTAGCATCCAAGCTCTCATAGCATTCTATTAGGATATCAGTTCATGGAAGCGTTCATTGGAGAGAGTTTCAAAAGCACTATCTTCAAGAATTTCAGTCAATATTTTATTCATGCCAGAAGATTTTCGCTTTTTATTTACTTGAGAGCTTGCTGTATAGTCTATAATATCTCTCTTGTCGAATTTTCACTTTGTCACCTCCAATTTTTCGCGTTGACGCCGCCATATTGAAATTCCACATTACCAGTAGGTATAGCGCACTTGGGAGTTTCTCCAGTAGGCGTAGCGCATCTGAAGAATAGGGTTATGAAAAGTGTAAAGAGCTTTTTAATAATTTGATGTATATCCTCCATCGTTTGGGCATCCTTCAGGGACCTGGCTCATCGGAGCTTGAAAAAAGAAACGAAGGCTCCCTATCATCTGTAGAAGATACTTCTTCTACTGTAATGTCTGACGCATTAATGTTTGCCTAAATTTCTTCCATTTCTTTAGATAGTGGCTCCAAAATTTCTTCTTCATTGTCGTTTCAGTCGTTGCAAAATGTTATCACAGGTATCGTTACAATTCGTGCACAGTATAGAGCGTTTGAGTCCAGGATTTCCACATAATTTTTGGTATTTCTAGAACTGATAGAACAACCCGAATTACTGCTGTCGTGCTGCTACCTCAGTTGGCGGTATCGATATAATATTGAATTTATTTTTATTATATATGTTGAAATATTAGTAACAATTTGTTATTTATTAAATTATGTTTTCACCATTATATTCAAACAGTCCAAGGATCAAGCGTTGCCCAGCTTTAGGTATGATTATTTCGTTGTTGGAAGTCTAGTTCCCAAATGTTTTTCTCCAACCACTTAAATAACGATATTTTCTCTGTAGATTTAGGAACTTTTTTTTCCATTACCATAAAAAGCGCACGCTATATCCGCTTATATTTGAAAACCTATTTTTCCCCTCAGCAGGAAAAAAATTGAGGTGACAAAGTGAAAATTACAAAAAAAGTGCCACAAAATCTATGCAAATACGAAGTTTTAAAACTTCCGGAAAACTTTCCAGACAAATACCTACTTCTTGGACCATAAGTCCGATATTTCCTCGGAATTTACATTTTCAATTCATCAATTTAAGTGCCCTCGTGACGTGTACCTATTCTAAGTTTAGGAAATCAGTCACTTTTACATTTATTTTTATTTTGTTGCCTTTTTTCTCTTTTCAATTTTTTTTTTCATGGAAGCTTTAATATTTTTTTCCTAATTTTGATCTTAAACTAATAAATTAAAGTTCTCTGGTATCTGAATATTTTAGAAGCACGGTATCAGGTTTATCAAAAGAGACATAATCAGCCGTGCCTTTTATGATAATGACATAAAACCCTAATCCCCGGGAGCTTCTTCGTCAAAAATAGTAGATATATATGAAGAGGGTCGGATGACACTTCATTTTAAAGGGTAAATAATATTATCTTTGGGGCCACCGGTAATAATTTCATTAGAAATGCCACCTTTCTTGAGAAACAAAATAATATAGGTAAGAAATCAATCCAAATACTAAATATTTTATAAGAGTAACTACTGCCTCTTGCCCTGGATTATTCAACGGGGAGCATTGGTAGTACGACTGTTAGGAAATAAATTTATAGTATAACATACCCGGGTTCGATCAGTAAGATTGAACGATGAGAATTTTTATCACCTTTTAAACAACAAATCTGAAAAATGAAATGAAAAACAAATAGGACCTACGTTGTGGAAACTTACTCAATTTTACTTACTGGACATGCGCCCGACAGCAAATATTTGGGAAATTTAAGGAAAGTTGTGATATGTAAAAGAAACGAAAAATTAGTGAAACGCCTCCTTTATTATTAAAGTAAAGCGTACCGTTCTCGACCTAGAATTCTCGAGGGAAAAGAGAACGGCAGAGAAAAACTCGATCCAACACTCCCCAAAAATCGAAACATACTGTGTCATTTTAATAATAATTGTGAGTCATTAATTCAATAAAAGTTGAAACTAGGTACCGTCCCTGTTCTTGTGCTAAAATTTTAATTACACACACTACATTCAAACAACACTACCTATAATCAATACTGAAGAGTTTTTGTTAGTTAGCCAGTTTCCAAGCAGGTACTGAGGTCTCATACGGGAAGCTACTCAGCTATAGTTGTTTTTGAGCCAATATCTCTAGATTGATTATTTCAATTTGTTAGGATATTCTCTCGTCAGGGCAGGAAAATTTAGTAAATTCAACAAGGCTCTAATGCACGCTCTGAATACACAAAATCAAAATATCAGCACAAAAAGACAGCACAGAATTTCTTAGGTTTTATTTAACTTTTTATCTGTGTTGTTTACAGCATGGAACGATTTTGGTTAAATACATAAACAATGCACATGTTATAAAAAATTGTTATAAACAAACAAAAAAACATAAAAATTGGAAAAAAATAATACTTGCGTAAATTGAACTCTCAAAAACAAAATAATAATTATTTAACTGACTGGTGATCGTTCCTTGACACACACACTAATAACAAATTGGATTGAACAATTAATTTTAATGCAAAATAGGAATGAAAATTGAATAATGAATAATTACAGACACGCGTTTAAAGGAACCAGTCTGTTCTCCAGTCTAGCGTCTAGTTGCCTATTCTCTTCTACCTTCCCTTCGTCGTACGGCTCGAACGCGATCCCCTAAATTTGATAGCGCGCTCTTCTTCTCATAAATTCCACTGAGCAATACATGGTTGCAACATCTACTTTTATTCAGTAAACATTTTCTTAAAAATTTAAGATTTGAAGAAATAATATTTTAAAAAGGTGGTTTTCCTCAAATTGTTCCGTATTCAGGAACCTTGTTGAAATTAGTTTGCGTGGAATGTTTTGAAAGTTCGATCTTAGGAGACTCCACTTTATGGTCTCAGAAGCTATCAATTCGTACTAGATAATTCAAATGATTCACCAAAGGATTATCGAATGTAATACCACAAGAGGTTTCAGGATTACCGGATAATACTTTTACCTGTCACGGAACGCGTTACGCAGCAACACCACGACTCCGAAGGAGGAGTGGTGTTGCTGGTAACGCGTTGAGTGTCAGGTAAAAGTATTAGGTAATCCTGAAACATCGAGTGGTATTCAAAAGGTTATACAACAAACTAAACTTTAAAATTTAAAAAAATTTCTAAAATAGAATTTGTTATAAATGCCACCAAGTGCGATAATCCCAAAAGGCTTATCACTTATTAAGCCTCTTGTATCATATGGGAATAATGTACAGTGAGTTGTATAATCGTGTTTATTCTATTATAAGGAGCATTTTTTTTCCAGTACGTGGTGGTCCATGCTTTGAATCATTGGAAGGTAATCCGACCTGTGGAGAGGACTATCCCAATCCAACAAATCTCACTTGTTGCAATGGAGTTTGTGTTGATACTTGTAGATAATTATTTCTTTGTGATCAATGATTTTTTTGCAATAGGCTATTTTTTTTAGTTACCAATCCTTGCAGAGAAAGTTGCTATTGTCACCAAGTAAACTGTTATGGAAAAGCTGTTATAGTATCCGGACCGGAACCTTGTAAATGTCCCAAATGTGTTCTACCAGGTATAACATTTCCATAGATTTTTTTGAGGATAAAGTTTCTAAGATCTTTGTTTCTGCCAGAACCTGGCAATAATTGCCTCGAAACTTTGGAAGTAGATTTTATTTGTGGATCAGACATGGTTTGTTGTGACGGATGGTGTCAAAAAAATGGTGATATTATTTTTATGCCAGAGTAGAACTAGATTTAAAATTATATTTTTTTTTTTCAGGCACATGCTAATGCGCATGAGTCTATTGCCGAACTTTATTCTAGGATATATTCTGATACCACGAAAAATACATTTTAAATATTCAACATATGCTTTTCCAGGTAAAGTAAAGGTTAATCTCTTTCGGATTATATCTTCCATTCCATTTTTCAATAACCCAGCGGTTTAATATTGCTTCGTAAGAGCAGATGAATTTCTGGAATATAATTTGTTTTGATAGAACATGCCATAAGAAAAACAGTATAATTATACATACCTATACACTCTGAGTTACTTAGCCCGTGCATTAGAAAATTTACAGTTTGCAGGTGGATTATTAAGTAATTCACCTGCAATCTAATGCACGGGCTACATAAATCACCCTTTATTAGGTAATTATAATTGTTCGTTTTACTGACAATAATTTATTATTTTAGATACAAACTGTGAACTGTTTCTTAGTGGACGCTATTTACTTATACCAACTTTCGCCATAATTTTTTCAATAATTATTGGATTCGGTAACGAAAGTATATTTCTTTAGCTTGATATTGAGTTTGCTTTCAAATGGTAGGTACTTTACATTATGCATAATATTTTATAAAATTTATTTGGTTCATATTCGCTCTTAATGTGTACCTAGGTATATTAATAAAAATATTATTTGTATTTCACTTTTTGTGTTTTGATATCTAAAAATTTTGTTCAAAAATCATTAAAAAATCATGGGGCTATATGGAAGACTGGGACTCCCAATGGCATCCTCGATACCAGGTTGTACTAAATATACTCCCTTCCCTTTATTATTTCATTTAGACAAGTGGGAAAATTATCATGAGAATTTATATTTTATTTGCAATGTAATTGTTATTATGGAATAAATAGATAAATATAATTAATAATGTCAAACAACAATTTTTAGCTTAAACCAGTTTTGAAACAAAAAAAAAGTATGGTAGCATATTATGTGTCAAGTCAAGTGATTAAATTCCTCAAAAAGTATACCACAGAAGTATACTTATTTAGGTCTGGACTTTATAATTCGTAAATGAAAATAAAAACGCCTGACCCCTCATCATAATATGTTCGAACTATACATTTTGAAAAGTGAATACGAATAGTCAGAGAGCCGACATTGATAACACGTATAGGATCCTACAAGACGTTCCCACATAAAACGAATGCTTTGAGTTGTCTCGAAACCGAATGCATAGATTGCCTCGATTTTCTTGGACTTCACGTGTTTTATAAAATCAAATAGTAGCATTCTGTCAAGTGAAAATTCGTGAACATAATATTCAATCCGTTACGTAGATAAGTGATACTACTACTCCAAACTTTACCAAGTTTTATTGAAGTTTCCACTCACGAACTTTCCTATAACGGAATAAACAAAATATGGAATAAAATTCTAAATCATATTATTAAACCTGGGACAAAAAAGGTCTACAAGTTCAGACAAAAGAAACGAAAGTGAAATTCAAATAATCATTCCAATTTAAACAGTTATTTTGTGTTTCATAAATGAATTAATATTCATCAATTAATAAATTGCGTATTCGTGATAATTCAATAACCAGTTATTTTAAGACCCCTACAAACTACCAAAAAAGAAAACACAAGAGGAGATTTTATGTTGATATTGATTGTGACAGGATATTATTCCCTTTTGAAAGTATTTTCTTCTATTAACTGAACGATTTAATGGAATTTTCGTGTTGAAAATGGGAGAAATCAAACAATAATTAATTATTTAATCAATCAATTATTTTGTGTGAGATCGATACCTCGAAGAACTGCTAATATTTTTATCCTTTATGAGGCATTTAAGATATCTTCATTTTTAATAACAAATAACAAAGTTTCAACGAAACGTTTCTGAACAACCATCAGGCCCACAAAACTCCTAGAAAACTAAATAAATTATTTAAACCCTGAATGCTAAAATCTTATTAATAATGTAACTTTAAGGAATTCATTCAACAAAGCGTCTTCCGGCGAGGACAAGCGTTTGCAGAGAAATTTAAACATCAGAGACGTTTCAGGACGAAGTAGGTATACTGTAGTTTATATGCTTGGGGACATGTTATTCTGTTTTCTGCCTTTTAGAGCTTTTGTTATTTAGTTTGAAGGAGATCAAGGAGTCTGTGTGTTACGTATTCAACGGTATACTGTGGTTAATTTAATTTCTTGGAAAAGTAGACTGTTCTCATAGTCTGCGGAGAAATATCACTTCTCTACTGTAAAACGTATTTTAAACACGAAATCTAGTAAATGCGGGCTTAAAAACTTGAGAATCAAATTCAAAAAATGGGCATTAACTGACTTTTTTGTTGACCGTAGCTATAACATATCTGAAAAAGTTTTTTTTTTTAAATTAATACCTACCTTGTTTATTTCTGGAAATAATTTCTTCTGCACCGTGGCGAACTTCTTTTATTCTGTTATGGAAAATCTATCAAAATATGCGGTTCACAAACTGTGTTACGATTTCAGCTAAATGGTAAATAAATTGATTATATTTTTATTAAAACAGAGACCGTGCTGACAATACATTATAGTAATTCCTTAATAGTTATTTGTATACCAAGGCCGCGAAGTGCCTTTTAGCGTACGTAGAGAAAAGTTATCGCCGAGGCCGCTTGCGGCCGAGGCAAGATAATCTCGAGGACGCTAAAAAGTTTCGTGGTCATGGTATACACACTATTTTTTGTGCAACCATGAAAATTATGTGAAATTACAGAAAAACTGTACTCCTTTCAACAAAAATGTGGAACTAACTACCAGTTTGATGTATAACCTGGTGGCTATGGTGGCACAGCGTTTCTATGGATGTCATGGATGACATATTTTGCAAGTAAACAAATACACAATAGCTATTTATACAATAAGTTACGAAATGAGCGTCTTTTAGGCACGCGACGTGAAAATTGTCCAACGAGGCAAAGCCGAGTTGGACAACACGTCGAGTGACTAAAAGACATCGTTTCGTAACGTATTGTATACAAGATTTTTTCTACTGTCATTTTATAATAAAAAAAAACAATTTTATTTCATGTGAATAAGTCGATTACACCCAAAATCTTTGTAACCTGCTTTTGCTTGACACCTGACACTTTTCATGCGATTTTTTTTTTCAAGATTCGACATCAATTATTGAAATCCCAGAAAGTAGGTAACAACACAAAGTTGTGTTTTGAGTAACCCAAACGTTCAATTCAATAATTACATTTTAAATATTCATAATAAATACAAAACAAAATTCAAATCTGTGTTTAGTGTGTTTTTAATTCTGTATAATGAATGACACTTTTAGGCACTAGTGCTTAAAAATTACTTTTACGCACTCAAAAGTCACTTTTACGCATTCAAAAGTCACTTTTACGCACTGAGTGCTTAAAAGGAACTTTTACGCACGCAGTGCTTAAAAGAATGTCGTTTTAAAACTAAAATGACAATCGAAAAGTTGCTATTATGAAACGTCAGTAGAAAAAGAATTTTGACGGTTCTCAAAAAATCGTGAAGATGTCCGAAAGCGATACAGATATTTTACTTTCTTGCACTCCTCCAGAGCTAAAATCAGCTATTTCTGAGTTAATACCTGAAAAACTAAGCGGCAAATGTGAAAATTGTTACTGCGAGTTCAAAAATTGGTGTGACAAACAAAATGTCGAAATGATGTCTGAAAACATATTTGCTAATTTAATGCAGAAGTAGAAAGTTTTGATAGTTCAATTCAAAAACACTGGATTATTAGTTGCTTCAGCTTCAGGAGTAAATATTAGTAATAATGCAAAGTGTCACAAAAGTGTTGATATTTATCCCAAATAATTTATGTTGTTCTGAAGAATTTGGAAATTAAATATACTCATTGTTGTTGTCAAAGTGTCGAATTTTGATTTATAGTTTCGCGGCCGTCACCAAGGGCAACGGCCGCGAAATTGAATTTCGAGGACTGTGTAGCGGCCGCGAAAGCTCATTTAGCGGACGGTTGCACAAAAATTAATGTTTGTTCCTTTTTTCCTTGGTTGTCCGTTAAGCTCCTACACAAAAATTCAGTCAGAAATTATTTATTAATCCAATTTTTAAATTACAAAATTAAATTATGCCGTTATCGAGAGAATTGAACCTCCCCAAAAGGTTGGCAAAATTTAATCTAATATATAAAATACTCCTGTCACAGTTTTAGTTACCTTCGTCCTCCGAAACGGCTTTACCGATTTTTATGAAATTTTATATGTATATTCGGTAGGTCTGAGAATAGGTTTTAAGCTATTTTTTATACCCCTAAGTTATAAGGGTGGTCCACCACCAAAAATTTTTAATTTTTTTTTTGCTTCTCACCACTACATAACCCAACTTATTTTTGTTAACAGTATTATCTCATAGCATTTTCGGCTTTACTGCTCCCAGAGCGCTCTCTATTTGGGCGGTGACGTCACAGATCTCTGCAGAAGTGCTCCGAGAGCGATTATGATCCAAGCGAGGGCACCCTATTTGAAATCGATAGCCGAACGTACTTCAATTGTTTTGTTTTGACCAATCACTGATCTATCGAATTTGACGGAGCAAGGAATAGCGCTCCGTGCGAGATTTTAGAGCGTTTAATGCGCAAGTCGAACACGTGAATCCGTTTCAGATCGCTTTTTGATCAATCGGGAGCAGTTTTGAGACAAAAGTCAAAAGCGCTATTATTATATGTACAGTGTGATTTTTTAAGTGTGCAACATATGGGTATTTTTTTTAGTAATAGCACAAACCAAATACAAACGAGGCCAAAAGTTGTTGCATGTCTGATAATCATATTAGGTGCACTTAGAATGGTTGCAAGTCAAACAGCATACAGGGTATCTCAAATAATATCAAAGCTGTACTGTAAAGCACCCTTATTTTAGAAAATTCAGCAAAATGTTATAGAGAAAAGTTGTTTGGAATTAAAAGTTATGCCTAAATACCAAAACATACCCTCCTAAGATTTTTTTTATTATCTTTCGAAAAAAATCTATAATTTCTATATTTTTTTATTTTTTATTTCCGCCCTTAATACTTTCAAAAATTAATTAAAATCAAATCAATTTTACATAACTTTGTTCAAATTCAAGCATATTTGTAAAATTAACTTAGATTTTTATTTTTTTATGGAATTACAAAATTCATGTTTGTTGCAATGATATTCAACACAACTTTAAAATATTGCAATTTTTTTTTTAACAAGTTAAAACATTTCTAAGCCATATGCCATATTAAAAAAACTCTCCCTAAAGTGCAAAAGTTTTATTTTATTTAAGTAAATATTACTACAATTTTGATATTTTTTGAGCTACCCTGTATGCTGTTTGATTTGCAACCATTCTAAGTGCACCTAATATGATTATCAGACATGCACCAACTTTTGGCCTTGTTTGCAATTTGATTGTGCTATTACTAAAAAGAAATCCCATATGTTGCACACTTAAGTGATGACACTGTATATAAATATTATATTCTATCGTCTGATTGCGCGGTCCTTTTCTTTCATTACATACCATTCACAGTGACGACAATTGCTGTCTTATTTTTGATTGGTTCTTTAAATTCCTATATATTCATATGGAAAACGCCGCCATTAGCAAGAGGTAGGGCACAAAATGGCGGCGGGAGCTCTATTGTCGCCACTGTATAAATAAGGCTTATT